CAGCTCAAGCGATATGGCCGCCACAACGAAAGCCTCCAAGGCGCTGGGCGTATGATACTCTTCCTCGACATGAGTGTGGAACAAGCTCAGCAGTCTAGAATTCTTGTGCGCCTCACTAGAGGAATCCGTCCAAAGGGGCAGATTCGTAGTTGTCAGTAGGCGGCCCCTCACATTGGGACTTTCGCCTTTGAATACGGACACGAACGCACTGTAATGCAGCGAGAAGTCCTGGTAGCTTACAACCACGCAAGCAGCGGGATTCGCTCGCAGGTGGTCCGCAACGCGCTGCACATCGCCACCGTCCAGACCCACAAGCAGTGTGTACCCGGACGACGCAACACCAGAAGTCAGCTCGTCGCCGTCGACCACGCTGCGCTTCCTCAGCAGCGCCACACCAAACGTGACGGCCGTCTTGTTCAGCACATCCAGTATCTCGTTCGACTCCTCCGGCGTGAGGCCGCGCACCAAAGCTGTCAGACTCGTAGAAGCCACCTTGTGCACTGCGCCCTTGTCAGACAGATACCGCATTACCACGAAGAACTGCTGCTCGAGCGTCGGCATGATCTCGACAATGTTCTCGTGGGAGTAGATGTTAAGGCGAGGTCGCTTGAAAACGGGGTTTATCATGATAAAGCTGCTCGGCACGTCCGTTGTAGTGGACCCAGTGAAGAAATCAACGCGGTAATCCTTCACAAAGCTGAGCACCTCCTGTGACACTGTGGATTCCGTTACATCAAACTCCCTCAGGTTAAACGCGTATTGTGGCCAATGATCACGAACAGAACGCCTTTTAGATATTTCTTTTACAATAATAAATGATTCCGCTGCACTAAAGAGTAGAGGCTGATCCACCACATGAAGGCTCCCAATATTCAAATACATTTTAAATTCAGTATTATTTGCGTAACACACCGATGGAGGGTAAAGGTATCTTGCATCATGTATACTCTGCATTGTTTTATTGGTGAGATACTTTTTGATATAGGCTGTGCGGCCTCCCTGGTTGCATTTGCACATTACGCCTTGCTCACTAGCAAGCGGAGTGCACTCCCCACCGTAGTCCCCTAACACAAGGTCATCATAAAGAACAAACCGGTTCTGAGTAAAGATGTAACTCTGGAAAGCCTTACGGCTCAAGGCACATTCAGAACACCACAAAAGTCGTGCTATAACAGTGCCCACAATCCAAC